AGCTGGAAGTTCTCGAGAAGATCGCAGCCGGTGGAAAGCTAAACGTCGTGCTAGGCGAGAAGGGTCTCGCCGATCGTGTCGTGAACTTGTTGTAACTCGAAAAGACAGTATGTCCCCAGCGGCGTACTGTCTTTTCTTTTTGCACGCTATTCGACGACGCACGAAAGAAACAATCTTGGGTTTAATTCTCTAACGGCTGATTCAACGCCGTCTACCTAATCGACGCAATCTCGCGATCGATTCCTTATCGAATTCCCATCAGTCGCTAACGAACTGTTCACAATTGTTGTCACTATTGGGAACCGATTTTTGCTGGAAAACTCTCTAGCACCTCAAATAGGGGCGCGATGGACAAGTGCTGCTCAGCTGTTGCTGCCTCCTTCAGCAGCCGATTCGCACAGAGGATTAGCAGCCACGGCAATCATTCTATTTCACAAAACGTACTTTTTTGCGTACGTGAGATTCTCTACCACTATTCAAACTCGCGATCACGATTCTCCGCGTTCCGTGATTGTGGTCACAAAAGACTCTTCCCTTATCCATTTCTTGGCACGGCCATTGCCAAGGGGTTGGGTGGAACTGAAAGAGGTTTTGCGTTCGCATTTGGCTGATCCGGAGGTGAGCCATGCGAGCCGTGACTTTTACCCTTAAGAGGTAAGTGATGAGCAAGGGTTTTTTGATCGACATGGATGGTGTCATGTATCGCGGCGGCCAGATGATCCCTGGCGCGGATACGTTCATCCGACAACTGCGCGAAGACGGTACTCCGTTTCTGTTTCTCACCAACAACAGACAACGCACGCGACGCGATGTGGTGACGAAACTGGCCCGCATGGGCATTGAAGTAGAAGAGCGTCAGGTGTTTACCTGTGCGATGGCAACCGCACGTTTCCTGGCCAGCCAGAAGCCAAACGGTACGGCCTACGTACTTGGCGAAGGGGGTCTGCTGAATGCCCTTCACCAGAATGGCTACTCGGTGGTCGACCACGATCCCGACTTTGTCGTCGTCGGCGAAGGTCGCACGCTCAATTGGGACCAGTTGGAAACGGCGACCCAAATGATTTTGGATGGTGCCAAGCTGATTGCTACGAACGACGATCCAAACTGCCCAACTTCACGCGGTACGCGTCCGGGAGCAGGAGCAACGATCGCCTTTCTGGAAGAAGCGACCGGCCGAAAGGCTTTAAGCATCGGCAAGCCTAGCCCGCTGATGATGCGAATGGCTCGTAAAGAAATCGGCTTGGAAACTTCCGAGACCGTGATGATCGGCGACACCATGGAAACCGATATCCTGGGTGGCGTGCAGATGGGGTACCAGACGATTCTGGTTCTCTCAGGTGGGACTCGTTTGGAAGATATTCCGAAGCATCCGTACCAGCCCGACTTGATTATTGATTCGGTTGCGGAACTGGTTCGCAAGAACTTTGAAGAACCTGTCACGCTGCGAACTCCGGTCACGGTTCCGGACGACGCTGCCAACGAGTTTGTCGCTTCGCTTCGCCGTTAAGTGAACCGCATTCGCAACCATGCAACGGCCGCGACGTCAGAACGCTGCCTTGTCGTTTCCCTCCCCTAGTTGCCACTGGAAAGACGGCCTTTCCGAGGCAACTTGATGGCCCACAGCAATTCCCGCCGGTGCCGTTTCCGCTAGTCCCGCTTATCTGCCAATAACAACCAGACAGAGCGGGCGTCATGCTCTTCCCTACCCGAGTGTGACGCCCGTTNNACTCTTCTTTATGTAGCTTTTCGTGCGTCATCAGCTTGCGTAGATCTTCGATACCAACCGGTTTGACCAAATGCACATCGAAGCCTGCGGCCTCGGATTGCTGGCGATCTTCGCTTTGCCCATACCCAGTAACAGCGACAAGCAAGATTCGGTTCTGCGTGTCAACTCCACGGATCCGCCGAGCGACTTCGTACCCGTCCATCATGGGCAAGCCGATGTCAAGCATGACGACCGAAGGATGGAACTCGCCGACCATATCGAGGGCTTCCATACCGCTGGCCGCCGATTGAATCTCGTGATTGCCCAGTGCGGCGAGCAAACGTGAGAGCAAATGACGTGCACTCTTGTTGTCGTCGACAACTAAGATTTTTTCTTCGTTACTGCTCTCGATCGCGGTCACGGCTGAGTTTTCCCCCGGTGCTTTCTTC